AGACCTCTACATTGGAAAACTACAGTATGCTGAAAAAGGAGATTGAAGAAGATATTAGAAAATGGAGAGATATCTCATGCTCTTGGGTAGGAAGAAACAATATAGTGAAAATGGCCACACTTCCAAAACTGTTATACAGATTCAATGAAGTCCCAATTAAAATTCTAACAGTATATCTCACAGACAATCCTAAAATTCATCTGGAACCAGAAGAGACCTATATAGCAAAGGCAATCCTAGGTAACAAAGATAAGACAGGGGGCATCACAATCCCTGATTTGAAATTATACTATAAAGTTACTGTGATAAAAAAATAGTGTGGTACAGGCCCAAAGATCAATGGAACAGATTAGAAGATGCAGAAATAACTCCAGACACACTAAGCTACTTTATCTTTGCCAAAGGTGCTAATCACATTCACTGGAAGAAAAATGACCTCTTTAATAATTTGGGAAAACTGGCTCTACACATGCCAAAGATTAAAACTTGACCCATATCTTTCACCATGTACTAAGCTAAAATCAGAATGGATCAAAGATCTCAATATTAAAACAGAAACATTAAATCTGCTGGAAGATAGAATAGATAAAACTCTTGAAGACATTGGTATAGGCAAAGATTTTGTGAACAAAACACAGATTGCACAGGAACTATCACAAAAAATCAATAACTGGGATCTCTCTCTATTGAAAAGCTTTTGCACAGCAAGAAAAACCAGCAACAGAGTGAAGAGTCATCCCACAACATGGGATAAAATGTTTGCCAGCTGTTCCTCCGACAATGGATTACATCGAGAATATATAAAGAACTTTAAAAAAAATCAGTCCTCCCAGATTCAAAGACGCAATCCAAAAGTGGGCATCTGAGATGATGAGTACACACTTCGCAGATGAAGAAACACAGGGGCTGGGGATTTAGCTCAGTGGCATAAGCACCTGCCTTGCAAGCAGGCAGTCATGAGTTCGATCCCCAGTACCGGAAAAAAGAAAAAAAAGAGATGAAGAAATGCAAACAGCATATAAATATGTAGAAAAATGTTCAACCTCACTGATCGTTCAAGAGGTGCAAATTAAAACAACACTGAGATTCCATCTGGCCCCAGAAAGAATGGCTACTATCAAGAAATTAGGTAATAACAAATGCTGGGGGGGGGGACTTTGGGAAAAATAACCCATCTCCACTGTTGATGGGAATGCAGACTGGTGCAACCACTGTAGAAATCAGTATGGAGATTCCTCAAAAAACCAGGAATAGAGGTCCCATTCTACCAAGCTCTTCCTATTCTGGGTATTTTCCCAAAAACATCATACCACAGCAATATATGTGCACCCATGTTTATAGCAGCACAATTTGTACTAGCTAGATCTTGGAAACAATTTAAAGCCCATCCACTGAGAAATGGATAAAAAGATGTGATATTTTTATACAATAGAGTACTACTCAGTCAAAAACAAGGATAAACTAGAGACTTTTTTGGGTAAATGGATGCAACTTGAGACCATACTCATAAGTGAAATAAATAAGACATGCACGTATAAACATATTGTCTCACTAGTGTGAGAAGCTGAAACAACATATGTATATGTGTATGTACATGTATATAAAAAACTAGTTAAGATAGTTATACTACTGATTTGTCTGAGTTCACTAAAATGAAAGATTTGTGCTGATATTGTTCAGACAATTGAATACAGATTTCTTGTGTTCTGGGTGAATGATTTGCAGTTGACAATGTGCAATATAGGCACCACTGTTGACTGACGTATATTGAAATTTAGTTTTATTTTTTCTTCTTTTCTCCTTGAAATAGCTTTGAATGCATGGTGGTACACACCTGTAATCCCAGCTACTTGTGAGGCTGAGTCAAGAGGAACACATATTTGAGCCTCACCTGGGCAAGGGTATTCATCCAATTCTCGTCAGTGACAGAATACCTAAGAAAAACCACTCAGGGAAAAGAAAGATTGATTTGAGCTCACACCTGCAGAGGGCTCAGTCCATAGTTAGCTGGCATCAGGGCAGAACCAACTGGGAAGAGAACAGCTCCCCCCAGGGGTCAGCCAGGAAGCAGAGAAGGGAAGAGGCAGAGAGGAGGTAGCCAAGGGCCAAACGTGTCCCCAGCCACACTCCAGAGACCCCGGGCTCAGCTAGATCCCAACTTCTACATCTCCATCAGCCCCAATAGTGCCATGGAACCGTGCCAAACCCTGCCTCTGAACCCCTGAGACGCTGCAAGCACATTTTAGGTCTGAACCATAGCACCATCTTAACCACATTCTGTTTCAAAAATAAAAATACAGACATCATACTCCCTGAGTTCAGTCCCCGTTACTCCCCTCCCCGCCAAAAAAGAAAAGAAAAAGACAGAACTGGTTTAAATACCGCCGTATCATTCACAACCAGGTTGTGGAAAAGCAGCAACACAGCAAGTCTCGAATACGGCCCCCAGCGTGGAGGGAGTCAGGTGCACGGGACAGGCTTCGGCTTCCCTGGGCTCCGGCGTGGCGATTGGCAGGGCAGGCTGTAAGAAGCCAGGGCCTTGCTACGAGGCATGGTCCCCCGGTACGTACCGTTGCCAGGCGTCATCTACCTGAATGATGGGTGCCCAGGGCCTGCACGGAAAGGCAATGTCAGCACCCAATGGGCACAGAGGCTCAGTTCCAAAGAACACGGAGGTGGAGGTAGTGAGGACTCCTCCAAAATTCGAGAGTGCCTGGCTCCACTGAACTGCCACTTTTGTGTAATATGACAAGTGTCACGGCAAGTGATTCTGACCACCATAAAACTCATAGGGCTGGATACAGTTTGGAGTAGAGAGCCTGCCCAGCCTGCACACGGCTCCAGGTCCCGCCCCGGCTAATGAGAGTAAAGCAAGAGCAGTAACTGTCAACACAGAAACAAGGGGAAGCCGTCTGCTTGAACCTGCAGCAGGCATCCGGCCAACTGGACGCACCCGCAAGAAGGCTATCTGGTGCCTCAGCTACAGGGAAGAACCCGGCCTCCCGCAGCGGTAGCCTGCGGACACCAGAGGGCGCGCGCGGACCGTCCACGCCTGACGCGTGCCACAGAGCAGACAGCAGCCCTGCAAGCGCTCGGCCACTGCATTGGATGCCCGCACCTGTGCGTGGAGGGGACGGGGCCACGCTGGCCACCTGGGCCCTGGAATAATGGGCTCTATTGGGTGCTGAGTGGGGGAGACCCAGGGCCACCCTCCTGCTGGTGCAGAGCCCAAGAGAAGGCAGAAGGAATGACCACACCCGGGGCTCAAGCCGGCAAGAGGAAGAACCAAGACGCCCCCCTCTCCAGGCGAAGCCCCTCACGCCCCCACAGGGCAGGGCCTCTCCTTTCTGCAGCCTCAGGCCATCCCACCTACTTTGAAGACACCCAGGGCCCAGCTGACCTGGCTGAACTGGGTGCCTGAGCCTCCACTCAGCTTGGAGCAGAGACAGAGGAAAAACCTGACCCCAGTACCAGCTACAGGTGGCCCTGTGGTCCAGGGCTTCCTTCCAGGGGGACCCTCTGACCTTGTGCTAGCTTTGAGCCAGGAACACACTTTGCCCTCTGCCCACTCAAGAGCCCCAATTCGACCGGCAACCCCTCCCATTCTCAATGGAACCCCGACCCTGAGCGCCCCCTGGCCCAGGAGGGAACCCCCGCCCAAGCCTAGGGGAGCCTAGAAACTCTTGGCTAGGGACCACTGTGAGAGTGCCCACCTGGGGCACCTCTAGTTGCATGTAGGATCTCTCCATGCACCCCAAACACTATCAAAGTCTGGAGGTAAGGGGAGGCTTGTCCTTTATCTGGGATGTGTGTCCTCGGTGGGCGCTCAGGGAACGTTCAAGAAGCGCCAGATAAAGGACGCTGCTGCCCCTGGGCAAATCCAGACCGCATCCCAGACACCAAGAGCCCGCTCTCCACCTGACCCCTCCCAAGCCAGTACGCTGTGCAGTCCAGGTCTGTAGGCCCCTCCTCCCTCCCACCCTGAGTCTGGCCCCTATCAGAGTGTCTGCCAGGCTGTGTCCCTCGGGGTGGGGTGAAACCCCCGGAGTGGGTGAGTGTCAGATACCAGGCCTCTAGTAGGTGGAGACCTAAACAAGGCAGCTTCTCACTTCGGGTCTGGAGAGTAGGACACCCGGGCAAGGAGGGATGTGCGGGGTAGGGAGGGGTATCCTGGTGGCTGGGGGCGCCCGAGACGCCGTTGGGACTGGAGGCCTCCTGCTAAAGGTCACGGAGAGTGGACAGGGCCATCCTGCCGCCTGGGACGCAGCTCCTCCCTCGCACAGTGGCGCTGGGCTTCCCCTGCAGCTTGGCGGGCGGGTAGATGCGCCCGTCCCTGTGGGAGCCCGGGCAGTCTGGCCCCAGCAGCACGGTTCTCTCCACACCGGACACCCAGTCTTCTGGCAGGCGGGGGGGGGGGGGGGACCGCTGCGCGGACAAGATGAGAGGGGGACACTGACGCCAGCTCGAGCTACGGCAGACCGGCACCACAGGACAGCTAGAGACTCGGGACATGCCCGCAGGTCTACGCGGAGCTAGGGGCGCAGATCCCAAATCACACGGAGTTCGGGGCTGCGAAGTCCTCCCAGGTGGGTGCGAGTGGTTCCCGACGCCGCACGGCCCCTTTAAGAGATGGTGTCCGCCTGAGCGGCTCCGCCCCCCAACCGCCACCTTTCTCTGGCATCCGCGACGTCAGCCGCCCCGGGCCGCGTACGCTGATTGGCTGCGGGTGACGTCAGGGACCTTTTTTCTCCCGGATGACTTCATCCCCCTGCGCCCCGCCCTCCGCCCCGGGCTGTCACTCGCGGTTCCGCGGCGGCCCCGGCTCCGCGACCCCGCCCGCCGGACCCGACCCGCGCCCGCCGAGCCGAGCCGAGCCGGGCCTCACGCCGGCCGCGCCCGCCGAGCCGCGGGCTGGGATGCGCGCCGCGAGAGCGCGTGCCCGCCCGCCGTGCGCGTGCCCCGGCCCCAGCGAGCGCTCCCCGAGGCGGCGACGACGGCGACGGCGACGCGGCCCGCGCGCCCCCCCGGCCCGGTCCCCGGCCTCGCGGGCCCCCGGCGGGCCCATGGGCGGCGCGGCGGCGCGGGTGCCCTGAGCACGGCGCGGGTCCCGGGTGCGCGCCCGCGGCGAGCGGCAGCCAGGTGAGGGGGCGCTTCGTCCGCCTCCGTCCCCGCCCTGGCCCGAGCCGCTGCGGGTCGAGGCAGGGATGCGCGGACGCGGTGCCAAGCGCGGTGGCCTTGCTGCAGAGGGTGCGGATCCTGGGTGCGGCGCAGGCGGGGCTGCAGGAGGGGGTGCAGGAGAAGAGATTGCGGGGGCTGCAGGACGAGGAGGCTTCATGCGGCCAGGGTAAAGGGTCCTCGGACTCCGGGACCTGCGTTTGCAGTGCGCGGCCCAGGGGGCCGCAGTGCCGCCTGCACCGGCTCAGAGGCGGAGCTTTTCCTGGCCGGCAGCACCTGCGCTGGCAGAGACCCTGTGCGGGCAGCTGGAGGCACATCCTGCAGTCAGCCTGCTGCGGTTGTCCTTGGCCTCAGCTCTGGGGAGGTTCTGGGCCTGGCCACCTGGGACTGAGCTCTGTGACAGACTCTGGCCCTGCCAAGCCGGCAGTGTCAGGGATTCCTCCTGCGCAGGCTTCTCTGTCCTGGGGCCTGGAGTTGGAGGCCCTGAAGTGCTGCCCCTAGAAGAACAGAAACAGCCAAACTCAGGCCACCTCTCCCTGACCTACGGGGTCACTGACCACCAGAACCATGGGCCGTTCAGTGTATAACTGGGGACAGTGACCAGAGGAGGCACTGGGCCTTCCAGTGTGCACTGGGGACAGTAGCCAGAGGAAACCCTGGGCTTCCCAGTGCCCTGTGTAGGGACAGTGACCAAAGAGTGCCCTGGCATGCCCTGTGTTCAACTGGGGACAGTGACCACAGAAGGCTCTAAGCTCTCTGGAGGGCCAGGTAGGTGAGGTTGAAGCAGCCTCCCACTCTGCTCCCAAGAACACACGCCAACCCTCCCACAGCAGGCCTGGCCTGCAGCACGGTCCTTGCCTGGGCGGGCTCCACTTGGCCTTGACATTGGACCTTGAGGCCAGTGACGTCCATTCCGCTCACCCCAGGGAGTTGAGGGGTGCAGAGGCTGAGCTGTGGGATGGCCCTGGTGACTGAGGGCTGGATGTCAGCTGTTGGCCCTCCAGTTATTTCCTGAGGTTGTGTAGGTGTGCAGAGCCTCCTCTGGTCACCATCCATGTGCTTGGCCTCACAGTCCTGGCAGCCACTGTGGGGTAGAGAGTTCTCCGCTCAGTGGACACTGAGTGGGAGTGGGAGTCATGGGGTGGAATGCTGCCTGGGAGATGGGCCTTAGGCCTGGGGCTGTAGCTGGTCAGGCACGTGTTCAGGGACAGGAATGTGCTGGGTGGAGACCTTGGTGTGGGAGCCCAGTGGGGTGGCTGCTCTCCAGGGAGTTGCCCTGGGGCACACGTGCTAGCTTGCTTGTGAGTGTGTGTGCACATCATGGCTCTCTGGTCCAGGTGTGTGCATACACCTTGGCGTGTAAGTAACTGCATATAGGACTGAGGCAGGAGAGGGTAGGGATTGTCTGTCTTATGTGCAGAGCATTTGCAGAGGGTTGTGTTCCCATACATGCAGAGCAGCTGGCCATGTGTGAGGCCAGGGGAGCTACCCTCTGACCTTAGGCTTGGGAGCTGCTCCCTCCTTGGCCCAGAGCTTCTGATGAGGGGGTCTTGCCCCCAGCAATCAGGCCTGGGGTGGGAGGGCTGTGTAGGAGGTTGGCCAGGCCTGGCCTGCTCTATCCACGCACCTGTCCACAGCTAACCTGATGTTGCTGCCACCTCTAGCACTCTACCAGCGCTGGGTTCTGGTCCCTGGGAGAGCAGGTAGGGGAGGGGGCTTCCTGTGGGGGTGAGAGTGGGCGAGGAGGGGTGACCTGTCCACTGCAGAGCAGCCACTCGCTAATTCTATGGCTGCTACAGGAACAAGCTGTTGCCTGGCACCTCTGCTGTTGCCATGGTTACCACGGAGGTGCTAACTTGCTAATGAGTCCCCCTTGGCTGCAAATAACAATACTACAGCAGTTAATAGGGCCAAGCTTCAGCTGTGAGGATACCCAGGGAGCAGGGGTGGGGACCTAGTACCACCCTCCAGCCCTCACCCCCTCCTCCCCACCCACCTCAGCCTCATGCTTATCTAAGGGTGAGCACCTGTAGCCCAGCGACCCCAGGCAGCCTATGGTGGCAAGCCATGGGGCTCAGCACCCAGACACCACCCCGCCATGGTTCTCCAGGATTCTGGGCCCTTGAGGTTCTGCCCATTGTGCAGGTGGCATGGTAGCTGTGGTCTTTCCTTCCCGTGTATGAGGTTCAGACTAGAACTTGGGGAGTGAAACTCCCCAAGAGAATGCAGCAGAGACTAATCAGGATCCCTGGGGGACAGGGATCTTCTCAGAGAGCCAGAACCGTCCTCCTTAGCCAAAGAGCCCCACTCAGTGGACTGGGTATCCCCATGGCAGGATGGCCCTTAGCTGCTGACTTCGCCTGTGGAGGGCTTGGGGAGAGGCTGGGGCACAGCGTCCTTGAGAGCACGGTGCGCCTGTCCCCCAGATACAGCACCCCAGAGCCAGGTTCCAGGGGCAGCGCCAGGCAAGGCCCAGCAAACTGAGGCGGAAGATGGGTGGCCTGTCCTGCAGTGCCTGCAGGGGGCCAGCAGGTACCACCTACTCTGCTCTTCCTGCAACCTCTGCCCAGGTCTGGGAACTGACCTGGAGGGCCCACAGACTGGAAGCAGCTGCTGTCTGTCACAGAGGCCGTGTTTATGATGGTACTCCCAAGGCTAAGAGTGCGGACTTACTGGAGGTCCCCTCTGCCATAGGTGTTGGAGTGTACCTCTAACTGGGGGGGGGGGGGTGGTCAATTGAAAACAATGGCAAAGGCCATTGTTGGGGGGGGGTCTTGCCAGCATTACTAGAGCCCCAGGTTCTATCCATCCTCGTTGTGTGACCTCAGGTTGGTCCCATCTCTCTCCTCCACCTCAGTTTCCCCACTTTCAGAGCAAACTTAACAGCATGATGCTTCCCTCCTGGGGCTGAGGGACCTGCAGCCTGGCAGGTGGCAGGTGGTGGGTGGCAGGGGCCAGGTCCTCACCTCCTGCATACGGCCCTCAGTCTCCAGAGCCCTGCTGAGGTCCACTGAGATGGGGTGCACACCAGCGGCCACTCTTCTACCCTTGTACAGCACAGGCGTACAAAGCCCCAGCCATGGGACAGGCTGGCAGCCATAGTAAAGAACTACAAGACCAAGTCCCAGCACCAGAGCCTGCAGCCCAGAGTCCCCCGCTTACAGAGTCTGGGTTATCAGCCTAGGAATTTGGCCCTAGAGATGGGGCCACAGGACTGGCTGTGCTCACGGTGCCAGCTGGGCAGGGTAGAGGACTTAGAAGGAGCAAGGAACAAGCTCTGGACCCCGATTGTTCAGGGTTAGGGGGCAGGGACAAGGCAGGAGCCTCCACTGGAGCCTGCTCCAGTGGTACATGGCCCACTAAGGGATCTGAGAGCCACTTGCCCTGGCCCACCTGTCCTCCTCTGCCTCTGTGTGACCTGGTATCCCAATGTGCTGGACAGGGCTTTCCTGGAGACCCCACCTTCGAGACTATGGCCACCCAGGGGAGGAGTGGTCCTGGGGTTTGCATGAGCACTCTGTGTGCCAACGTGCTGAACCCCTCCCTGCCTCTCCCTCAGGTCAGGCGCCATGTACTAGTGCACTGCGAGCACCACGAGGCCACACCCTCCTCACCCCCAGGGTCACTGCCACCGCCCCACCATGGCTGGGGACCGGCTCCCAAGGAAGGTGATGGATGCCAGGAAGCTGGCCAGCCTGCTGCGGGGTGGGCCCGGGGGGCCCCTGGTCATCGACAGCCGCTCTTTCGTGGAGTACAACAGCTGGCATGTGCTCAGCTCCGTCAACATCTGCTGCTCCAAGCTGGTGAAGCGGCGGCTGCAGCAGGGCAAGGTGACCATCACCGAGCTCATCCAGCCTGCCACACTCAGCCAGGTACCCACACTCCACTCCTCATGCGGCCTTCCCGGGCACCCTCTCACCACTGAAGTCAAAAGCTGAGTGCCAGGCGGGGGCCTAGGGCTTCTTAGGGTCCTACAGGACAGGCCCTCCCTGAGGCCCCTGTACTCTCTTCAGTCTCCGGCTCCTCCTGTGGAAGCCATGGGCACCCAATGTGTGAGGAGGTTTGATGGAGTACAGAGGCAGGGGTGGGGAAGGGGCACAAGGCAAGAGGGACAATACGGGGACAGGACAGCTGGGTCTGGCTGCTTTCATTGCTGTGGGTACCCCAGGCCTCACGCTGAGCTGGCCATACCCTCAGTATCCTAGTTATGCCTCAATCCCCTGGGAATTCTCTCTGTGGCCCCAGGAATGTCCTTCCAGGGAGGGACAGCCCACTGCTGCTCAGGACCCCCAGACCCAGCTCCTGGGGAGGAACAGCTGGGCTGTGACCTCCCCTGCCCGCCACCCTTGAGTACAGACAGGTGGGATACTCTCTCTCGGGGAGTCCCTGTTCCCAGGCCAGCCCCAGCAGGGAAATCCGTGATTAATCACCCCTAGCCAGGGCGCCGGTCCTCCTAGAATGTGCTCTCATTGGCTGCCAGTGACATCATCCAGCCCCGGACTGGCGGCTCAGCCGGGTTAAAGGCTGAGTGTGCTTCAGGGTGGAGACATCCACCTGCCTGATCTGGCCCGGGGTGGGGGAGGGGACAGCAGGCACCCAGCTTCCAGTGCTGCCACCAGCTTGGTGGGGGCAGTGGAGGTGAGAGAAGGATCCTGCTCTGGTCCTCAGTTTCTCCACAGGGATGGCAGCCTGGGGGAGGGGTATGCTGGGTCAGTGGTCCTGCAGGGACAGCCCAGGCCCAAGGCTGCGCCAGCTCCCAGCCCCTGCCTTGTGAGGGCCGATTTCCTTGTGCTCCACAGCCCTGGGAGAAAACCCAAGTGCCTCAGGACCCCAGCATGCACCTGGGTCTCCCCAATGGACGCCCCCCTCAGCGAGCCCCAGCACCCCCGCATCTGTCCAGCCACCTGTAGCTGTGGGCACACTCCGTGGGGCAGGTGGAGGAGATGCACAGTGGGTCACCTGCCCTCTTCTTAGGTGGCAGGTGGCAGCAGCCCCTCCCTGCCATCCTCTTATGGCCTACCTCCTGCTTAGAGGTGGCTGCAGGGCAGGGGCACTCAGTGGTGGCTGCAGCACCCTGAGCTCTACCTGACGGTCCCCAGGTGGAGGCTGTGGAGCCACAGGACGTGGTGGTGTATGACCAGAGCACGCGAGATGCCAGTGTGCTGGCCGCAGACAGCTTCCTGTCCATCCTGCTCAGCAAGCTGGATGGCTGCTTCGACAGTGTGGCCATCCTCACAGGTGAGCCAGCCCCCCCTGTGCGCCAGGCTGGGGGTGTCTGAGGAGGGCAGCACAGTGGGAGGATCTCTGGCTCTGGGGGGCCCAGGCCTCACACTAGAGGACCCCAGCACCAGGCCCCATCCCACCCCTGCAGTGAAAAGGAAGGCAAGGAAAACCCAAGGACAGCTCGCAGTGCAGAGGGACATGAGGGGTACAGGGGAGAGGCAGAGCCTTGGGCTGAGCCTGAGCTGGTCCCACACCAGGGGCTCCCCTGGGCCGAGGATGCAGGTTGCCTAGCAACAGGCATCTTGACCAGGACTGCTGCCAGGGACTTCGGAGAAGGAACACTGGGGAGGGGAACCCCACATACACTCACACTGACACGTAGTGAGCTCAGTTGTGCACACTCACTCCCATGTACATATACTCATGTACCCATGCACACACAGCTCACACCCATGTACAGTCATGTACCCTTTCACACACATCTGCTTCACCTTGGGCACACTCTCCCTCACATGCACACTCACACTTGTGCACATGCTCTACACATCCATACACCCATGCACAACCTTGTATACTCATCGCACACTCACACCCATGCATAGTCATATATCCTTTTATGTAAACTCACATTGATTTCACCTTCATGCTCCTTCATTAGTATCTACGCTCATGCACTCACACTGGTGCACACATACCGTTTCGCATGTATTCACACATATACTCACCCTCACGTGCTCACTCACACTCATGCACACTCAGGTACTCATTTGTGCACACACATTTACATTCACAATCATGTACTTACACACTCACACCATTCCACATACGTATTGTACCCAGCATCCACACTCACATACACTCTCAAGTAGTCACACTCATGCACATACACACGCTCATTCGTGCACTATCACACACAGAGGCAGTGGCTAAGAAGGCATCAGTGGAGTTCCTGCTCCGGGAGACAGCAGATGGAACTGGCTGTCCCAGACACCCAGGCTCTCCTGCCCAGCATCTGGGTCACATCCCCTGCCACCTGGCTTCTGAACCACGGGTAGACGAGAAGGGTGTAGTGTGGAGGGGTGAATCCCATCTTGTGGCCAATAGAGCAACCTGTACCCCTGCCACCTTGCTATTCTTGCTGTGGCAAGGTGGAAGGCCCCAGCCAGGCCCCAGCCTGGCCATCAGACACTGCTGTCCAGGGGCACAGTGACCTCCAGTCCGCCTGCAAAGCAGACATCCAGGACCTGCAGGCTGCTCTAGCCGGGCTGTAGGGCAGATCCCGAAGTAGCAATGCAGCCCCACCCTGGGGATGTGATAGAGCTGGGTGGCCTGTGGGCATCTGTGATCAGCAGCTGTTGCAGGGCGGGGTGCATGCACATGACCGCTGGGATCTGCATGGCCCTGGGCCTCCCTGGCTGGGATCCACAACATGAAGTATGGATGAACTCTGGAGCAGAGGCCACAGCGGGTAATTGGCCTTCTTACCCTAAGAGTGAGCACTGGGGTTGGGGGGGGTTCATGGGTCATGGGCGTAGCAGGACTTCTGCCAGGGCCCAGCACCCGTAGCCAGGAGTGGAGGCCAAGGCCCTTCCTTGTGGAAGTCCACAGGGTCAAGGCAGCCTCTCTCTAACCATTGGGCTAGAAGGCCTGCCACATTGGGCACAAAGATAGGGACGGCGTGGGTGCACTCACCCAGCACCATACAGATGTTCACCTGGGACCCAGCTGTGTCCTCTATGGGCAGCCTCCGCTCTGTCCATGATATCCAGACAAAGAAGAGTCTTTGTCTCCACTCTTCTAAAGGCCCAGCCAGGAAAATGTCATGGTCCCCATAGTACCCCAAACCCCATGAAGGACAGCCCCTTGCCCTTGCCCACTAACCCATCACCCTGCTGTACTCAGCAGAGTACAGCCCTGCTCTGAGCTGGCCCTGCCTTGAACAGTGGGAAGGCACGTAGAGTGGGCCACCCATGACGGAGGGCTTCTCCAGGGTCACACACAGTGGGTGCTAGCTCCTAGGGACAGGAGGGTGGCCCTTCCTCGGTGGGGCCGCGAGATGGGACAGTGGAGGGAAGGGACTCCTCTGTCACAGGAAGTGGCCTTGCTGCTGCACCCTGTGCCCCTGCCCATCCTGTCCTCCTGTCCAGAGGGGGACTTCTTCAAGTGGCAACTGGCCATCACCCCATGATGTGTGGAACTGTGGGAATGCAGGCTGGAGAAGTCACACTGCTGCTGTAGGTTGAGCACCATAGCCCAGACCTGCAGCCATGGGCCCAGGCAGGCAGGCAGCTGTGATCCATCTGCAGAGCACTCCTCAGAGGCACAGAGAGGAGGGGCATGTGGCCTCTGTGAGCCTGAGAGCATCCAGGTCCATGACTTGACTGGAAAGGTGTTTTGGGGTAGCCTGGCCAAGAGTGCAGGGTGCCATGTACAAATATAGGATTTCCTTGGTGCACCCCCAATCCCCGAAATAGAGCAAGGGTAGTGGGGTCCAGTAGAAAGGTGTCCCTGGGGGTCCTAGAGAGTAGGGTGCCTCTCTTGTTCTGACAGCCAGAGCCAGGGTGCTGAGCTGCTTGGGCCTGCCCGGTACCTGGGAGGCTTCCCTAGGTGTCCTGGAGAAGGTTGTGCACCCACTCTGCATGGCACGTGCTCATCCCCCCCAGTCCCCTGGGGAAGGACCAGCTCAAGCTACAGAGGAGAAGGGCTAAGACAGTCAAGAGGAAAACAAGAGGAGGAAGGGTCGGAGACAGCCTGCCCCACGCCCCTGAACTGACCCCAGACTGCACCATCTAGAGTTCCCCGCAGGCCCGGCAGCCAACTAGCCACCGTGCTAGTGGGACACCTGTAAGCAGTCGCATGGCTGGTGCCAACGCCACCTACTTCTCACCACCTAGCCCACAGGTTCCCAGGGAAGGGACCAGACCTCCCCTGAGACTGTTGCCTTCACTTCTCTGCCTGGAGCCCTCCCACCCCATGGTCCCCAGAATCTGGCACAGGGAGCCTGCATGGTACATGCTAGGAGGGGTTTCCTCACTCTGGGGCCTGAGCCAGGGACAGAGGCAGCGGCACCAGCCTCCCCTGTCCTGGGTCCCTGGCAGTGGCCTCCTCCTGAGGGCCGAAGTAGACGGAGGCTATAGCCAGCAGCCGGCCCACAGGGGCTTGCCACCTGGGGGTGTGCAGGAGCAGCACTGGTGCTGCCCGGGGACCTATGCCGCTCTGCCAAGAGCCAGAGCTGTGTCGCCATGGCCAAGCCCATGCCTGTGGTCCAGTCTTGTCCTTGCTGAACCTGGCAGCCATACTGTGTAGACACAAGATGAGGAACTGAGGCCACAGCCCAGTTTGGTCGAGGTCCCCGAGTCAGATGTGCCAGGGACTCGAGCTTGGTCTCTGCAGCCAGTGGCAGAGAGGCTCTTCCCCAGTCATCTTCCTTCTGCTGGGTGGAGAGGAGCCATGACCTGACCGAAGATGCGACTGTAGGCCCTGCCCATTCTGCAGTGAGGTCGTGCCTCGGGCTAGGAGGGCCCTCTGGGAGTTTGCCTCTTGGGCCTGGCCCCTGAGCCCAGGCTGGGGCTCTCAGCCAAGTGCAGGGAGGCAGGGATTGCATGAGTGGCAGGGCGGTGGCAGCCAGGCCAGGGCTGGGTGTGCAGGGGAGGGGAGGAAGCCCCACGTAGGTCTGGACCAGCCACTGCCACCTCAGCCCACTCTTAGAGGCATCAGAGCAGTGTCCTCAGTGGGGCCAGCCCCAATTAGCAAGGGGAGGAATATGGGCACAGGCACCGGCTGCAGTGGGCATCAGCACGTGCCCCGTGTGGTATGAGTGGCCTGCCAGCAGGAAGCAGGTGCTTGGCCAGCCGGCTGGGCTGGTCCACTGGGTGCGGCGGAGCAGGCAGCAGATGCTGTGCCCTGGCCTCATTTGCCCAGCTGGCCAGCCGGCCTGATGCACTTCCTTGCCTCCTCCCGCAGGGGGCTTCGCCACTTTCTCCTCCTGCTTCCCCAGCCTCTGCGAGGGCAAGCCCAGTGCGCTGCCACCCATGAGCCTCTCCCAGCCCTGCCTGCCCATGCCCAGTGTGGGCCTGACCCGCATCCTGCCTCACCTCTACCTGGGCTCTCAGAAGGATGTCCTCAACAAGGTATGTGCACAGCAGGGCTCTGGCTGACAGGCCCAGGGGCCCCAGGATGGTGGCCTGGCAGGAGAGGGAGATGGAGGGAAAGAGGAAAAGACCCCGGCCCCACCACAGAGGGTGTGGGGGAGGGGCTGGCCTGCTGGGCACTGGCATGTCAAACTGCTGATGTCACCCAGCAGCCAGCTCTGAGAGAATCTGTGTTTTTAAAATGGTGATGAGGAAGAATGAAGCCACTGCCCAGGCCCAGGCAGCCTTCACATTCTTGAGAGCCCAGGCCAGCTTCAGGCGGGAGGCCATCTGCCTGCCAGTCACTCAGGGCTGGCTCTGGGCACCAACTCCCACACATCCCCAAACTCTGATGTCCTTCCTGGCCTCCACCAGCCCCTTCCAAGCTGTCCTCCCACCCCTCTAGGATCTGATGACCCAAAACGGCATAAGCTATGTCCTCAATGCCAGCAACTCCTGCCCCAAGCCAGACTTCATCTGCGAGAGCCACTTCATGCGCATCCCCATCAATGACAACTACTGTGAAAAGCTGCTGCCCTGGCTGGACAAGTCCATTGAGTTCATAGGTGAGGGGAGGGAAGGGGAGGCGTGGCCCAGGGGCAGGGCTTGCAAAGGACACTGGACTGCAGGGGTGACCAGGTATGGGAGGTGGGGTCTGCCCCCCACCCTCACGGGTCCCCTTGGTCCCCCTGCTCAGATAAAGCCAAGCTGTCCAGCTGCCAAGTCATCGTCCACTGTCTCGCCGGCATCTCCCGCTCCGCTGCCATTGCCATTGCCTATATCATGAAGACCATGGGCATGTCCTCAGATGACGCCTACAGGTACCTGCATGTGCCCGTCCCCACCAGCGGGTGGGGCGGATCGTGAGTGCAGGGGCTGCAGGCAGCCTGGCTGCCCAACCCCTACCCACACAGCCACTCCCACCCAGGTTTGTGAAAGACCGGCGCCCATCCATCTCGCCCAATTTCAACTTCCTGGGCCAGCTGCTGGAGTACGAGCGGAGCCTGAAACTGCTGGCCGCCCTGCAGGGCGATACTGCCCACCCAGGGACCCCCAACTCCCTCCCAGGCCCCACAGCAGGGGTACCACTGCCAAGGCTGCCACCACCTACCTCAGAAAGCGCTGCCACTGGGAGCACAGCAGTCACTGCAGCCAGGGAGTGCGGCACATACGGGGAGACCCCAGCTGCCACCCCAGCCACCAGTGCCCTTCAGCAGGGCCTGCGCGGCCTGCACCTGTCCTCCGACCGCCTGCAGGACACCAGTCGCCTCAAGCGCTCCTTCTCCCTGGACGTCAAGTCAGCCTACGCCCCCAGCCAGCGGCCTGAGCATCCCGGGCTGCCCGACTCTGGCGAGATTCCCAAGCTGTGCAAGCTAGACAGTCCCTCAGGGGCTACGCTGGGCCTCCCCTCACCAGGCACTGACAGCCCAGGTGCCACTACAGAGACGCGCCCCCGGCCCCGCCGGAGGCACCGGCCTCCCACCAGCTCCCCAGCCCGCTCTCCAGGGGTGCACAGCCTAGGCCTGAACTTCAGCGATGCAGGGCGCCAGACTCCACGTCATGGCCTCTCTGCCCTGTCCACACCTGCGCTGCCTGGCCTAGGTCAGCCAGCCAGCCCAGGGGTCTGGGTGCCACCACTAGACTCCCCAGGGACGCCGTCACCTGATGCGCCCTGGTGCTTCAGCACTGAGGTTGCACAGGGGCCCTTCGGCCTGGCAGGTGTGCCCGGGCCTGGCAGTAGTGGCGGCAGTGGCACCAGGGACATGCGCGTCGGCTGGCCTGAGGAGCCGGCCCCCGACTCCCAGTTCAAAAGATGCAGCTGCCAGATGGAGTTCGAGGAGGGCATGGCTGAGGGACGCGTGTGTGGTGAGGAGCTGGCTGCCCTGAGCAAGCAGGCCAGCTTCCCGGGCAGTGTGGAGGTCATCGAGGTCTCCTGACCCCAGGGGCCCAGTCCCTGGCCACTGCCTCACACCTCAGGCAGCAGCCAGCCCAGGATAAATATAGGTTATGTGTAATACAAAGGAAGGTAAACGGTTTTACTGCGATTTTTACCAAGAAGTAAATATTTCAATTTTTTATTTATTTAAGCAGTTCATGCTGGCAATGATTTGGCAACCATGTGGGTGGCCCTGGACGCTCTGTTTTTACTGTCTGGTATTTAAACGGAAACACTCATCTCTAAGCAATAGGAGGTCACCTTCCGTCACTGTCGCTGAGCTGCAGTGCCAAGCCTGGGACCTCCCTGCGCCTCCCGACCCTGAAACACTGCTGATGTTGCAAAGAGACTGCCCGGCTTTTGTGCACTTTTTACGTAAGAAAAAGGGGCAAAAAGGAAAAAAAAAAAACTTCTTTGCCACAAACTGAGCCGCAGAACCTCCATCCCTCTCCATCCACCTGTCTCCTTCCCTCCACAGCTCCAGCAGTGGCCTCCTCTCCCTTGGGCTCTGTACCAAAGCCATAGATGAGGGAAGCTGTCCACAGGAGCAGGGGCCCCACCAGCTCAGAGGACAGTTCTTGGTGGAATGGGGACACCCTTGCTCCCTGTCACCCAGGGCTATCCCCTGGCAGGTGTTGACCAGCACTAGCTCCTGAGTTGGAGGACCTGGGACCCCAGGGCAAGGATGGGCAGAGTGCTCCCCCCACCCTGTGCCAGGTCCAGAGAGGCCTTGTAGATGCAGTGCTCTCCTCTTCTCTCCTTCGGGGGTGTCTCCAGGGAAGCCTGCAGGAAAGAAGACTGGTCTGGCGTCTGCATGGATCAGACAGGAGCCCTGGTCTGGATCCAAGGGATGGCTCGTGGTCTGCAGAGTCGCCCCCAAGGCCTGCCTTGTACTTGCCAAGGTCCTGGACTTCTGGGGTTGGGGTCCTTGGCTTCAGAGAGCTGCTCCCCTGACAGGTACTAGAGAAGCCCCCTCGTCTGCCTGGCCCCCCCAGGGCCTCTGAGGAGAGAACCCTCTGTGTACCTCTTTCCTTTCCCAGGCACTGGCCCACACATTTTTAGGGTAATGTGCCAGCCCCCACCCTCTGGGGCATTTTTGGCCCAGGAGGCCAGCATGGGGGTACAGGTAGGGGGAGCCTCAGCCACCTTGCTCTACACGCTCTTGGGTCACTGGGCCTGAAGCTTTGGGAGTAAGGGCAGCCTCTCATGTCCTGGAGTCCAAGGGTTGCCCAGCACCTCAGAAAAGCTCATAGGCTTGGCAGGAGTGCCCAGTAGGGCTGGCTCTTGCATGGTGCCCTTCTGCCCACTGCCCACCCCCACCACTGTGTCTCTCTGTTCTTTTGACCCTGCCCTATGTCCCTATCATCCCTCCTTCAAGCAAAGTCCCATTCCCATGCCTTTCTTCCCCCATGCCCTGTCCCCAAGAAAATAAGCTATCACTGTTGTATTTGCAATCTATGGATTAGAGGTTTAAGTATTTATTATTATTGGTTAATTATTATTATTATTAATTATGTAAATTTGCCTCCTGTCTGTTGCTTTGGGTTTCTGAGGTGACCCTGGGTATGGAGGATGTACTGCCCACATCGCCCACCCCTCTGCTGTCCAGGAGACAGTGGTCAGGGGCTGCTGGCTGGGCCCCTGCCCTCCCCTGGCGGGGGCGTGTAAGGCCCTGAGGTCTCATTCCGTCTCTGTCCCCACTTTCCTGACACTGTTACCCCAGAGTTAGCAGCCAGGGCAGGGAGACGGTCCCAAGTGTGCTGGGACCAGTACAAGGTAGGCACAAGGGCCCTCAAATCTTCGATGCTGCCTGGCCTTGAGGTTCTCCCAGAATGGGCCTGGCCCCTCCTGTTATTTGCTAGAAAGTCCAGTGGAGGAGGGCACCCACACACAAGGCCCTGTGCCTGTGGACCCAAGGAGCCGACTGCCCCTGGGAGCCCTGCCCCTGCAGGCCGCACTTCCTGTTCCTTCCTTTTGTATTTGGAAACCATGTGTTGTAATAAATCTCAAGACATGTTTTCCCCACGCCTCTGCTGCCTTTATTTGGGCTGGGTGGGTAAGGATGGAATGAGGGGCTGGGGGGCTCTGAAGGCACCCTGAGGCCAGGAGCCTAGGGGTGGGGCCTGGAAACTGAGAGAGAGCAGGCCAGTGACAGGAGACAGTCTGGTACTTGTGGCCCCTTTCTGTGTCCTTCCTGCTGTGACTGTGGAATTGGCTTGGAGCTGATGACTGGAACTCAGCTTGCCCAGCCACACCCCTCCAGACCTGGGGTGTCAGTGCCTCACAACAACTTTTCCAGCAGAAATGGGGTCTGGTAGATGGTATTTGCAGTACACAAGGGTCAAAAGCTCACCAGTGGCCAGAGTAGTGGCACATGCCTGTAATTCTAGCACTTGGTAGGCTGGGGCAGGATCCCTGCAAGTTCAAGGCCATGGACGTAGTAGTGAAACCATCCTCAGGCAAAAGTGCTCGCCAGTGTCACCCAGGGGGCCCGTGCGACTCCAGGGGCTGTGGGCAAGGCAGGTCCCAGAATTCGAGCCCCTCCACATGTGCTCAGAGCCACAGCCCTGCTGAAGGACGGACTTCTGGGCATGGCTTTTCTGGGTGGCATCCACGTCAGCCTGGTGACCCTATGGCATGAGTGCCCGGTACAGACTGGGTCAGCAGTCTCACTGCCATGCCTGGCGAGGCAGTGGGCTCTCAGAGACCTTCTGCTTCCCAAGCAGGTATGGGGGACCCAGCAGTGACACTGGCTGGCCAGTGCAGTGCACGGGGCATGTGTGGCACCTGTCCGTGTGTTTCTGACTAGAAGAGGACTTGAGAGAAAGGGCTGTGGCCAGAGGGGTATGCAAGTCCTGCATCCTCCAGTCCTCAGCTGAAAGTCCTGCAAGCTAGAAGCAGCTCTGACTCAGGCGAGGCTATTTTTAGCTCAAGAACATCTATTTATAACCCTAACAGCCCCTGGGAGCCAATAAAGCCTAGGACTGCAGAAGGAGAAGCATGGCTTTCCCACGCAAGGAGCACCTATACCTGGGTGAGCATGACAAGGTGCCCCACCCTGGACAACCCTGCCCACATACCGACTCAAGACCCTGGGGACAGTGAGACTCTGCCAGGCGCACCAGGAGCCAAGCGAGCTGGGCTGGCCTAGCATCACTCCACACTTCCCAGGCCCCGACGGCAGGAGGATACATGGAGGCAGGCAGGTTGAGTGCCGAGGCACATAACTGTAATCCCTGTAGCTCAGGAGACTGGGCCAGCAGGATGGAATTTGAGAAAATTCAAGAGAATTTTCAGAGAAAAAGAGAAAATAATTTTTAAAAGATGGACAAATAGCTCACTGGGGTCCACCCCCAGTACAGTAAATCCCTGATTTGGGGACGTTCCAGTTGTGAACTTACACAGAGACAAAAACCTTGCATTTGGTTTTTTCTTTTTCCTTTTTATGCTTTACACTGTGTTTTTGTGTCAAAGGTGTATAACACGCACTTTTTCAGACTTACAAAGGAATCCAATTTACGATGATCCGAACTTTCAAATGTTCCTCTGGAACAGAACTCACAAGCCAGAGACTTACTGCACTGTAAACAAAATTCTTTACATAAAAAAGGAAGGCACAAGAGCAGATAAACAGGCGGTGTGGTAGACAGGTGGGTGGCTGAAAGCTCACTGGGAGGGAGGGACTGGAGGTGCCGGGGGAGCCTTGCTGCAGGCAGTTTAGACGCGCCTCATTTACCATCCGGTTCCTGCCCAGCTTCCATTCCTGCAACCGGGTCATTGTACAGCGCAGTCCTTTACACCACTCAGAACAAAGGGACGGCAAAGGAAATCCCAAGCTTGATGACTGCTTCTCTTTGCATAACTCTTACATGGGCTGCTGTGATGCGTAACAGAACACAGACCTACAGCACCGTGCTGCACAGCAGCCGGCAGACTGCAGCACTGGTGAACACTGCATAAAAAGACCTTGAGGTGCCCTCAACAAGGGGTACAGAACTGCACAAAAGAAACGAAGGCAGCCAGCGAGTCAGAGTCCAGCAGTGGCGGTGCGTGTAGCAGGCAGGTGCTCAAGCCAGGATGACCTGCAGAGCCCTTCTGGGGCGGGAGATCCAAAAGTGGCTGCAAGCCATCACTCACTCAGTTCTGCAGAAAAACCCTTCCCAAATCGGGCACAACCAGAAAGCACCAGCTTTGCTGCCTCTGGGGAGAGCCGAGAACTCGCAGGCCTGCAATGGGGTGGCCTAGACCTGCGTGGGCCTGAGGGGTGCAGGAGGTGAAAGGCAGCGGGGCTAAGCCGCGTGGTCTGCTCTCAGCCTGCAGCCACACAGTGCCTTTTCCTGCCTTGGGTTGGCCTCAGCCTGCTCTGCAGTGTGTGCTTCTTTTCTTTTCATTCCCTTTATAAATGTGAAACCTCACCACCTTTTGTGCTCGTGTCAGCTCTCCCACCAGGACAGAAAGAACCTAGAAGCCACCTTTAGAGGGAGACTCCAGTGCCCCGAACTCACTCACACTCCTGCTAGTCGGCTTCATATAAGCACTGGTGTTCACCCGGATCTCGCCTTGTGGTGTGGCAGAGCCTGTTCCCGTGTGGCAGGGAGACCCTTCATGTGTGAGCACAGAAGCCACAGACCTGCAGCCTTGAGTCCCTGTGGCACCCAGCTCAGAGCCCTCCTCACTGGATGAGGACAGCTGGGGCCAAGCTGGGCTCTCCAGTGCCCGGGCACAGGTCCCGGTCTTGCTGAGAGAAATGCTCGGTGGCACATCTGAATGACACGCCAGGTGGCCACGTCAGAGTTTCACAGAAAGTGCTTCCTGGCTCAGCAGAGTCTGAACAATGGGCCTGCACAGGGCTGTCCCAGTCTTCCAGAAAGGTGTAGGGGACCCATGGGCCTGGACAGGTGGGCAGTGAGCAGGGGTGTCCTCAGCAGTGCCCAGTCAGCCTGGGCCTGTGAGCCAACCTCCCAGAGAAATAAGACTACCAGCGGAGGGCAGGGCACAGGCCAGGCCTCTGGGCTCCAGGAATCCAGGGCCACAAACCCAGAGTCACTCCTCGAGGGAGAGGCAGCCACATGACAGCTCCATGCTGGGGTGCCCCGTGGATGGGACAGCCCCACTCCTGGCCAGGCAGGAGGGAAGAGGTGCACCCATGAGCCAGTACCAGAGCAGAGAGGAGAGTCTGACTGTCCTCTCCTCTGTCAGTGCCCCCCAGCACCCCTCCAAAACAGGGTAGCGCTTCGTCAAACCCCGCAGTGCCTGTGTGTCAGGGGATGGGGTCCCAGGCGGTCCTGACACTGAGATCAGGAGCCTCACCCACCTTATCCAGTTAGCAGGTGTGCTGACTCTGCTCATGGAAAATGAATTCTCAGGACTAGTCAGGAGCAGGTAGGGGAAGAGTTTATTAAGCAGAAATTCAAAAGTATGAAGTAGAAGGAAGAATGAAGGCTCGAGAGAAAGAAGCACTTATTTTTTCAGAAGCATGGATCATTCATGTTTCTCTTGGGTAGAGGAAAAGGTGGCCCATTTTTGTTTGTTTTTGACAGGATCTCTCTATGTACTCCAAGCAGGCCTTGAACTTGCAGTGATCAGATCCTCCTGCCTCAGCCAGGGAGTGCTGGGATTATTGGCATGCAGCACCATGCTGACTTGGCTGCTTTTTGTTTTTTAAAGTAGATAATTTAAACATTCTTTGAATTCTCTTCACCTGATGCTTTATCTTAGGTGCAGAGTCTTGCTCTTTGCTCTCTCAGTGATGGATTTAGAGTATGCCTGAGGCACTTGGGGTGTGCAGGTCTGGAAGGAAGGAGCCTTGATGCACCCTGGGAATGCTGAGGTCCCTTGTGGTGGTGAGTAACTTTGGCAGGGCCTGAGTCACCGTTTTCCTAAAGTTTTGATCTCCTCATCCCCTTTCACCTATCTGTTGTCTCCTTTCCTCCATTTCCTGTGAGCTGTCAACCTCTCCCGAGCTGCCTGGCTCCTGGCTGCTAGTGTTGCCCGTTGGGTGCCCCAGGTGCAGTGGTCAGAATAAGGGAGAATCTGAGCCACAACCAGCACCCCAGCTACATATCTCCCCTCAACTAGAGCAGTGGGGTACCCCTGCGGTGGCCAGGGAGAGAGGGTAGTGCAGAGCAAAGGTGGAAGGCGCCTCCTCCTTCCCAGCTGGACCTCAGCAGGCTGGTGGCACTCCAGGCAGGGGTGGCAGACTGCTGACTCAAGGCAGACAAGCTATAAATAGTTGAGGGGGTGTAGGAAATAGGATGGGGAAGGGGTAGAGATGTCTGGCCTCACCCATCAGGTGCAGAGGGGCATCGGGACCTCTTGGCTCTGCGCCCCAGCTCTGGTGCTGGCTTCACCTCTGACTGGGCCTACACCTGGTTCAGGTATGCAAACACCTGTCCTTTGGGGTGACACCAGACCTGCAGGGTGACCAGTACCTGGCCCTGAAGTCAGCTGCACCTTGCATGCAACCCCAGCTGGCCTGACACACTGCAGGAGCTGGAGCAATGCACAGGCCAGGCACCCACATTGCCATTCCCCGTTTCTCCCCAGCCTCACCAGCCAGCAGAAAGGTCAGTCACTGCCATAGTCCCTCAGCCAGCTGTCTCTCTAGCCAGCTTTTCTCCTTGACCTCATCTGGAGGTGCAGAGCTGTCTAGGAGGGCACACTTCCAGCTCCTGCAGACCCACCACTCTTTCCTGGGAGGCCACTGGACTGGCCATGTGCCTACTCCTCAGCCACCGTGCAGGACTCACATAGTATCCCCCTGGAGATGGTGGCATGAGGAACCCTACCCCAGGATGCCCGTGTGCATTGGCACCACTGTCACAAAGCCCCCTGTAGTAGGTGAGTTGGACTCTGGACATTGCTCTCCAAATTCTGGAGGCCAGAATCTGAGACCCTGTGTGGACAGAGCAGGTTCCTGCTGAGGGCCTCAAGGGAAAGTGTGTTCCCAAGGTGACCTCTCCCTAGTTACATCTGTAGTGACACTCATTCAGCATAAGGCTACATTCTGAGGCCATGGGAGATAGGGTACCAGCACATGACTGTGGGTGATATGACCCCACTTACCAGTGGAAGGAGGGCTGCACACATGTGAACTCTGGGGCCAACATCAGGAAGCCCCAGGACCCCAGGCACTGCTCAAGCAAAATCCTTGAGAGGCTACCTGCATGAGGCTAATTGGGAAGAGCATCCGGGCTGGGATTCACCCAGAGATCTGTTATGTTAGTCACTTCCACATCCCTTGGACAAAATATCCCAGCCCCAAACAGCAGGACAGGTGGGTTTGGCTCATGGTTTCTAGGGGTTCAGTCCATGGTCAGTGGGCTCCAAGACAGAAGCGGTGTGGTGGAAGAGCCTGGTGAAGAGGAGTTGCTCAACAACTACCAGGAAGAGGGAGGTGGACAAAGACAAGGACACAGTGACCTCCTCCACAGTCAGCTGTGAACTCATTAATGGGTGAATTATGATGAACCCCCATGATCCAATCACCTTCCAAAAACATAAGATTGTGGGGCACACTTCAGATCTAAACCATAATACCCACAGAGCTGAATAAGGTAGAGCCCAGGAATATGTATTTCCAATATGTATTTCCCCAGGGAGACCACTGTACCTATTGAGGGGGATTCTTGGCCCTGGGGAGTCCAGGCTTTCATGGTGGCTATCATTGGATGGAGGGAACGAGGCTCAGCACAACTGGGCAACTGGGAGAAGGGTTGCATCTTCTAGCTTTCCTCAGACCCTGTCTTCCACTGCCACCTAGCAGGGGCCATGTCTGGGACCCTCAGCCCATCCTGCCTCGCCAGCCTTAAGAACACAGTAGCCTTGGGTGGCTTGGCACCCTTCTCTATTCTGGTACCCAGAACTGAAACATTCAGTTAGTAGGCCACCAGCAAGGGATAGGGGACAACTCCTCCTTAGAGGGCCCCTGAGGCAGCAGGTGAGGAGACAGAAGCTTCATGGTCACCCATTGGGCTGTCTTCTTCTCATTTCCCTTGGACACCATCCAAACTAGAGAGGGTTGGGGACCCTGGGACCTGCTAAGCTATCAGGAGAAGGCCCAACCTCTCCAGCAATGCCCAGCTGCATCCAGAGCTAGGCTGGCTAGCATCTCCTTAAGGCCCTGTCTCTGCATTCCAACCCTAGCCACCTTGCCACTGGGCCATCCACTGCATCTTCACGCTCCTGCCCTAGCAGGGCACCAGGCTCTCACCTGCACAGCCAGCTCTCCTGCCCTGGAGCTGGCTCTGGGTTTTGTCTGCTGGTAGACTGGGACTCAGTACCATTCACAAGGTGCCCCTGGAGAAAGTTAGAGCTGGACCTCAGCATCCCCACCCAGGGACAGAAGCAGGCTTGGCAGCCTCTCTCAAACCCAGAGTCCAGAAGATGGTGCCAGCCCCAGCTGTACCACCTTGGGCAGCTTGCCCTTGCAGAGCCTCAGTTTCTCATCCATAAAACTGGAGTCTGGCAGGGAGGGGGCTGGGAGGCCCCTGATTTACTTTCCTGGCCCCGCCCTCTCAGGTGCCAGAGTCTGCACAGGACTCTAGCTTTCCTCAGAGCACTTCTAGCTCCAGGAACCCCAGGGCAGTTCAAGCCCCAGTGGTCCCTGTGAGACCTGTAGTTATGGGCCCAGGGTATAAGACCAAGAGGACTGGGAGGGCTGCCTGGGGGAAAGGGAACTGGAGAAGCTCTGAGGGCCAAGCAGAAGCGTTCCAGACAGGAGTGGTGCATGTAGGAGTGCCTGTTCTCAGGTTGCATGGGCTTCTTTGACCTGACATCTGCCAGGCCTGGCACTCTATGGGCAGCAGCATGGCCACACCAACTCCTGAGGAGCCTGGGTACTGTCCAAGGATGCACAGAGCAAACAAGTATGTTCATGCCCTAGAAAGGCCTGCACTCGGGGCTGGCACTACAGACAGAAGGGGTGGTGGCCACCAGGTAGGGTGTCTGGAGGGGTGGCAGGGTCCCCAGGGGCACAGGACATTTCACTCTGCCTTTCTGAGCCCTCTCCATCCAGGACCCAGTCTGGGTCTCCACCTGGCTGTGCCGGGCTCCAGAGAGTTCCTTTATGCTGCGAGGGTGAAGGGCACACAGCAGTTCCTCCAGGTATGTCCCCCTGGGGAAGTGCCCCTCACCTTCTGCTGGAGCTGCAAGACCCATACCCTCTCCAGAGACTGCTCTATCCCACCCCACCTGGCCTAAGATACCTGGTGCTGTGAAGCCTGACAATGTGGGCACCACTTTTCCTGGACATTCCCCCAGGAATGGAGGATATGCACCCCATACTGCCATTCTGCCAACTTGCCCTCTCTTCTAGAAGGAGAGCCCCAAGGAGACCTCTGTAGGAGGGAGAGAGATGATGAGCATGGTGTAAGGGCGCCCTCTGCTGGCATTCTGTCCCCATCTGGACTTTGGGCCAACACAAGTCTCAGAACCAGATAGGAGAACAGGCTATAGTGGGAGGCGAGAGGCACTGTCTCTGCTTGGACAAGATTCACTCTCATGCCTCAAAAACACCTGTTAGCCAAGCTCTGGCCAGGCTTGGGTCCAGGTCCTGCCCTCACACAGACACACAGTCACTGACATCCTCGCTGCAGCAAACCAGATGCTCAGAACTCAGATCTGAGCCCAGAGCACAGATGGGCAACGCTGCCTGTGCCCATCTTCTGTGAATGGCGAGGTCTCAGAAGTCCTAAGCAGCACTATATGCAGGCTATCAGAACCTCAACCGCCCTTCACTGAGGTACACGGGATGTCCACCTGCAGCCTGCTCACTCAAATCAGTAGGATGCCAGGAACCTGAAGGGTGGGTAGCAACAAGGTCATCTTTGGTTCCACTGCCTACAAATGGCTTAAACTATCGCCAGACACCAGAGCTGGCTGGTGACAAGTGACACCCAGCTTAGTCCACTCTCAGCCAGGACTCTGCAGCCTCAGGAGGCTCACTGGAACCCCAGGGGACATGGGCTGAACTGTGCTTACTCCTGACCCCTGCATCTGGGAGTATGATTTGTTTGGGAACAGGGTCTTTGCATATGTGGACCTGTTAGCATGGGGTCATCCTGGGGAGCGATAGTGACAAGAGTCCCCATAGGAAAGAAGTTTGGACACAGACACAGAAAAACTGCATGAACAGAGGCAGAGGTTGGAGCTTTGCACGGACACCTGGGACCGTGGAGGAACACCAAAGACACCAGGAGCCACCAGGAGCAGGAGAGAAGCAAGAGCAGGCCCCTCTGTGACACTTGGCCTTAGACTTCTGGCCTTCAAGACAGTAAAGGGCCCATTTCTGCTGTTTGAAGCGAACCTGCTTGTCGTCACATGTGACAGCAGCGCCAGGAGACTTGTGCAGCCCCTGCTGGTCATTCAGTTTGCATAGGGGTTATGTCTAGGCAGCATCTTGGGCCTAGTGGGGTAGGCACAGCCTCTTACACTGGAGCCACACTCTCTCGCGGGAAGGCAGCCCAAGCCAGCTTTTCCAAAGCAGAGGCACCTGTCCTCAGTGCACACTGGCTGGCAGGAGCCTGGCGGGCCATCCCAGCCCTCCCAGGATTCTATATGGGAGGGGACCAGCCTGAATGGAACAAGTGGCAGCTCCGGATGTGGTGACACAACAGGTGGTGACAGGCCTGGAGGCAGGTGCACTGGCTTGCCACCTCCCAGCATGCACCGCAGGTGAAGTGACTTGATCTTGCTTGCAAGGCAGGGCTGCCAAGGGCTGCCAAAAGGAACCTGCCATGGCTCACACAGAAAGTGAAACCTGGGCCTGGAAACAGCTCTGGGGGAATTGATCTGGGTAATGATCCCTACCTGGGCTCCCATCACCCTGGAGCACCAGCATCCTCCCGCTGTGCTAAGCCAAACACATGATGGGGATTTCCTTCTCTTTGCTGACGCTCA